GTTTTTCCGTTTTAAGGGCGCCATCTTCCAAATCCATTGGCCGGTGAAGAGCCCATCTTTACAGGCTATTGAGATAGAGAGAAAAAGGGGAGATCTGGTTGAGGGTGAAGGCAGATTGAAAACTTATAAAATATAAATTAATGCTATATTTACCATGTTACGTAAAATTATAAAATTATAATAATATATTATTAAATAAATATATATAATATTATATATAAATTTTTTTTAAAAATTATTATATAATTATATATCATATTATAAATTTATAATATTATAACTATATATATTATTTTTTCATAAAAATAAATAATACTTTGTGACGTGGTAAGTGCCACGTAATTCAAGGAGCATGTCCCAACATTCCTCCGCTTTATCATTTTCCTTCTTTTAATGCAAGACTAAATACCAACCGAAAAAAAAAAAATGAGTTGCATATTTCTTTTTCTTTTTTTTTTTTGAATAAAGTTACAATTTTTAAAAGTAAGGGAAATCAAACCCGACCCTCAAGTTAAGGATATATTTTAGAAATCGATTTATGGCTGTTGGGTTGTGAAGCTCAAGTGCAAAAGAGTTGCATATTCTTTTAACAACTTTCCTAATTATTTATTTTCTCAGGAGCATTCAATATTAAATTGATTAGAGTGTGCTCGGTTCCCTATTCTCAGTAACCTTTATTAGGAAGCAAAGCCAAATTTTAAATTGATTTTGTGGGCCTACTATTAAAATATGCGTTTCAAAGGTGATGAATTTGTTGTTTTCTTTCTTAACAATTTTGCAGGGGAACCGTTGTCCGAAAGAAAGAGGTGCAGTTAAACGTGATTTGATACCACTAAATTTGAAGGCGCAAGTACAATATGAATTTGTTGTTGGTTATCTGGCATAGACAATTAGTTATTTGTATAAAATTTGATATAATATGTTATATGTTAATAAAATCAATATATTTCTTAGAAAATAATTTTTCCCTTGTATTTGATCCGATAGAAGTTGTCAATGATGTATAGGAAAGATGATTTATGGGTGTAGTAGAAGTATAAATAGTATGTCATATTTAAAATGTTATAATTTTGTAATAGCATTTTATAAATTTATATTATTTATAGAATTAATTAACTTAAAACATTGAATCTGGCTCTGTGACCAAATGACTTTAGTCACTGTTATAAGATTTATATCTCTTCTCTTAAGATAACGGTTCGAACCGATTCCATGACTAAATGTTCAAAAAAAAAAAAACTAACTTAAAACGTCTTTCATTGTTCAAAAATATTTAAAAAATAAAGTAAGTAAGAAAATAAAAAGATGTGAAGGAAGGAATACACTTAGTAGAGAAAAAAACATGTTTAGGATTCATGATCATATGAATTTCATTTATAAGTTAATAATATGAATAAATTAAATAATTATTGTGAAATAATATACTTTTAACTAGGATAATTAATTT